TTAGAGGCAATACTCATTCTATATCGAGCAGTGGCTAAACGAATCGGAAGAAATGATTAAACAGTTGAAGGAATTAAGTGCATCTATATATTGTCACGTGTTGGAGTGTGAATATAGACGGGGTTTGGATTGATGACTCGATTTATTGCATACTTTGGTACAGCGCATAGCTACACTTTACAGTTCACTATCACACACATATACACACACAGTAGTGTTCACAGCCACGTCTTACTGCTGTTGCTTGGCAGCGGCTTGCAACGGCGGACGTTCCCCTCCCTCTGGGTTCCCGAACTGTCCCCTAGCCTCAGTTACCGGCTCTTAACAGCATCAGCTTACAACGACTGAACCCCAGCGGTTCTCTAACTCTCTGCAATTCAAAGTCTAAGTCACATTGCGACTGACGGTGTCAGTCAGTCAGTCAGTAAGCCTTCGTGTCGAGCCCCAACTGGGGCTGTACGGTCCTGTTTTTACGGGGCGTCCTCTCTCATGAGAGGACGAGTCTGTCTTTTGTATAATCTGCTGGTCCTTGCCAGCGCAGTCTTTCTCGGGTCCGAGTCCCTTGGGACTCTCGACCATATTTTACTGCCTGTTAATTGAAACTACCCTTTTCTTCGCCTCCTACGACTCACAAGGTCACGGTGGAGGTATTCGACCCCGCCTACATATGGATGTCTCTGCGATTGTTAACTGCTCCTTCTTATAACATCTCGGCACGAACCGCGTAGAACACGTCTCTTCCAGAATTGCTGTAGTCTCTTGTTGCTATGGAAACATGATTCTTTGCGGAGTCGTTACTTAGCAATGGCCGTTGTATAGTTCCTCGCTAGAGGTCGTTGTCTAACAACGGGTCTACATGTCCCAATATGTTGAAGAATTTAGTTCCTCTCTCACAGAAAACACATTGCGACTCCATTACAAAGACTGACCGATCTAAAACTATTTAAGAAAACAATTATTGCTGTTCATTCTAAGAGTCGGACGAAACCTACACATTCTGTGGGTAGGTACAGAGTTTTCAAATGGTATGGCAGGCGATACACGTAGATCCCACCGTGCTCCGAAAGATTAGATACAGTGTAACGTAGGAATCAAATCTATTATGAAATAGGTTTTTATGGTTCACATCGGAAGTGAGACATATGGCATGTCAGATGGATGATGAGTGGTCGGATTTTAATTCGCGTGTTTCCCAAGAACTCAGACGCTACTTCACTCGGGATAACTGATCAACCAGCCGAGCTAAGTACAACTCACATGTATAAAACAAGGCAGAACAGAGGAGATATGTTACATAAATTCTACGTAGTTGCCCTCACTGGTTATTTAATTGCCTGTCAGGACTATTTCACGTGACTTCATCTTCACGGTTGCTTTATTTGTAGAACACTACGAGAACTCTTAGGGGGCCCACACACGTACGAGTCTGGCTCGCGAGTCCGACTCGGCTCGGTTTCCAATGAGCCAAACTCGTCTGTGTGTGGTGAAATTAATCCGACCACGGATCCTCGCCGAGCCGGACTTGCGGTACGGGAGTAGACAAACGTAGGTAGCTCCGCTGCAGCTTCACGTAACTGCAACTCTCAGGTTAGTTAGTTAGTTATTGGAGAGGGTGGGTTTCCCCATGCACTGAGACCTGTATTGATCCATTGTGCTTCCCTCTATGATTTATACCAGTCTCTATATCCTACCGGTACTGGTGCTTACCATCAGTCCCGCCCAGCCAGCGAGACCGGCTCTACTAGCTGAGAGGTATCTATAATGCTTCCCCCCTCTACCAGAGGTATTAGAGACTGCTGTTGGGCGGGAAACGTCCGTTAATTTGGCTCAGTGACCTCCTTTGGAGATATGAGGTTCTTTTACGTGCCGTAAAGCTACGACACGGGACCCACGGCTTAAAGTCCCTCCCGGACGACTTGTTCCCTGAATTTTTCCGCCCTTAAAAATTACTCGATGAACGTTTTATTAGTATGTGAATGCGGATTTCTTGTCATGAACATTTCTCTATCAAACACATACGGTAACTTATTAAGTAAACAAAATGGGCAGCACAACCACCAGGACTTGACATATCGGAGATGTGACAAGAAGTACTTTCCACCCTCGAGTTGTTGTGATCACGTAAGAAGTCTTCTTATACAGAAACAGAAGAGAACTAAAATGATACAGCAGAATAAGATTGAACATTTCATAAACTGTACGGAAACGATTAAAGGCTCCGAAAATTGTAGCAAGACTGAACATATGGAGTTCCCACGAGTGGACTGCTTGACTACCCGGTTCTACAAATACCGACTGTGGATGGCGGAAGGAGAAAGTGAAGGATATCACCTGAGAACATCCTACTCTTGCAAGTGGCGCGGTACTCGGTCAAACTTCAAACGTTCCCGTCTATTTATCTTACCCTGCCTCAACCAATATGATTAATCTTCAAAGGAAGGCTAGTAATTATTCTTGTCCTTATTTCTCACAATAACTAAAAACAAAGTAACTTTTCGTGATTTTTGAGAAGCAAATGTTTCAATAAAATACGTGGATGCTACGTACTTCTGTTTTGTGGAGGCCGAGGGGCGACTGCCCTGGTCGCTATCCCTTAAATCCAGCCCCGGGTGGGGCGAGACCGGATCCACTTGTTATGTCGGCCACTATTGGGCCTACTGTACCGGCCCCATCCTAAGTACTCGGAAGAAACCTGCCCCAGTGCCACTCTGTCCATCACGAATTTCATATGATCTGGGATCGAACCCAGGGCGCCGTAGTGGGAAGCAGGCGACTAATCGCCTAATCTATGACACGGCTTCTAGCTTACTCAAGTCTTGTAAAATGTCAATACATAAAAATTGACAAAGACTAATCATCTTTCTCAAAACGTCTCTGGACGGTCGATTGTTACTGCTGTAGTCATCCATCAGACCATGATCTGGTTTAATTCAAACACCTACACTGGAGTAAAACATGTGAACCGGCCTCTACATGCAACAGTGAAAGGTATCCTTAAAAACCAAGTCCAAGGCGAGCTAGTCCCGTGTCGGGTTAATTTTAGAGCGGCAGCAAGGGAAGCTGTCACACAGATGCTCAGATTGCTAATTCCGTAAGTTGTGAATGTTCAGAGTCTCGCTTCTTTTGCATGTGAACGAACGTTTTATTTTCATGGGAGTAGAAAAAATCTTCATCGCATATCTTACAAGTAGAAAGCATCAGTATATTTATAAGATCCGAGAACGGTAATGTGAAAAAAATGACAAGGCTTCATATAAAGAAGGCTTCGTATTTGCCACCCTCTGTAACACCTAAATGGAAATAAAACTTGCAAACTTGTCAGAAGCAATTCTGTTGTAATGCTTGATGTGAGTCTATTCACCATGGTACACTCGCTGAACATCGTACCTTTCACTTAGATACCACAGTGAAAGGGCACATTGTGTGATCTTCGTGTTTGAATTTAATTACCGAAACTTCAGTTTGTACATAAGAAGAGGAGTCAGACAAATACTGACACCACTATGAGAAGTTGTTCAACTCTGTATACTATCATACGTGAACCATGAATTCGATTCATCAAGAGATGACCGTGTGCTTTGTCGAAAACGCATTTCGGTACCAAACGTAATTAATTCGACTTTCCATCGATTGGACTGTTTGATGCGGCATAGAAAATAATGTTCCTGCTTCCAGATGCGATATTTAAAGGGCAGAATTTACAACTAAGATCGGCAGTGAAGCTTTAATTTGCCTACAAACTGTTTCTGACACACGCCTACTCCTGAATTTAACGCGACTAATTTCCGAATATTGGTATCGACGTTTTCATGTTCAATATCTTCGTGGGAAGCACCCGAACTAACGACCAGTTCTTTCTAACCCCTTGGATACTCTGAGGTCCTCTTCATGAACTGGAATTTCGTTTACAATGAAACATTAATAGGTTAGAATTACACATACTGTTTGTCTATGCTGGAAGCATCTGGTAAAATGTTCTCCAGGTTACCTTCACTGCAAATTCTGAGAAAATGCATTAGTATATGCTAAAATAAACATTTCGACTTGACACAGTAAAAATGCGAGGAATGTGAAATAAGCAACAGGGTAAATCCACTACAATTATGCTATGCATCTTTTTTCCAAATTTATTTCATTTATAAGTGTAAAGCAAAGCACATATGACAGTACCTTTGGTTTTCATGACATTTATATGTTGGTAATCTTGGAACCTCAGTATTATTGAACATCAGATTAAATGACAGGAGAAATAAGACAAAATATGTAACCAGCCTCACAATTTTCACTCTTCACTTTATTACTGATAGGATGGATATGTCAAGAAATGCAGGATAAACATGTAGCACTTACAGGGAGGAAACATTGCGTACATTTAAAATGGAAAGCCATACAGAGACTAAAGCATAGTGTTAGGCAGCCACAGTATGTTACCATCTTGGAGACCTGGGGTGACAAGACATGGCTTCACATGGCTTTCATCAACTTAAAATATCCACGTCACATTCCACTAAAATAAATAGTATCAGACAGCACAGTTCCACAAACTATGAGCATAAATCCACATAACTACTACATAACATGCAAATTTTCTTTGTAGCGTACACACATTAGAAATGATTCAAGAAATAATTATGACATTTTTGAGAAGTACTGGGAAAAAGCAAGGAGGGATAAAATCAGAAGAGAAAATTTTAGATAAGAATTTGGACTCAAAAAAATATGTTACGTCACAAAACAATTCATCCATATGGAAAGAATGGATGTAACAAGGATACTGAAAAGGGCAGAGAATTAAGTTTCAAAGAAAAGAGACATACGAGATAAACCAGGTACTATAAGAACCCAAGAAGACATGAGATGACAGGAAACTGAAAAGGGTAGATTATAAAACAGAAATGATGCAAGAAGTGTGAGGATATGGAGGAAGGTGTGGAGGGGAACATGAAAAGAATTAAGATGACTCTTTAACTCCCTATACTTCACTTCAATGAAAGAGACAATGTAGTTTAAAGGATGTTTATTTATATACATTGATTATTTTGGAAAATGAAATACAACTGCACTAAACATGAAATGCTCTTCTATTCACTTCATCTTTTGTTGGATGACTAACTTGAATTAAAAATGTGCTTGTTTCCTGGATGAATTCCAGGACACCTTCAAACTGTGTTGCAGTTATCTTGGTATCTGCATAAACATAAGAAAAACAAAACATCACTTTCTCTTTATAAATATGGAGCGTGTTGTTCAGGAAGAAATATGAAGGCATATTATACACTGTGCCTAAATGGTTTCATTAGGTCCCACAGAGTCTTTTCTCCTTGTCACTGAGAAGTACAGGTGAACCTCAACTTACGAACTTTCAAGAAACGAACAATTCATATTTATGAATATTGCATGGACTAATAAATTGTGGCTCCCAATTCATTTAATAAATACATAACCATCCCTGTTCAAACATTTTAACAAATTAAATGCTGTATCTTATGGAAAAAAAAAGACATGTGGTTTCTAACTCTTCTATGACCTCTGCAGTTAAAATAGAATCATGAAATCACCTAAGAATTAATCTCAACATGAAAACAAAACTATTCAGTCACCATCCATCCTACATGAACTGAACTGAAAGCGTCCTTAGACAAAACTTGTTGACGAGCTCAACTTAACAGTAGCCACTATTCTGAAAAGTGATCTTTATATCTGAATTGGATTTGCTGGTAACATCCCTGACAGTAGTATCTGATTATGTAGACGCGTTGAGCGTACATTTTCTTATGCTTTGTGGATATAAGCATACAAAAATTTTGAAGTCTGTTTTAAATTCAAAGCCACATATAAGGTAAGTCGGTCTGAAGAAAAAAATGTTGGTTTAACACAGCCTAGCCAGAAAACTGTTTACAATCTCTCAGTGTTTCTTCACATAAACCCTTTCCAATATTAGATCAAAGTCTTCACACTCTTGTTCAAATTTAAAACCAGCTTCTAGGAGTCTGATATGCTAGAAATGACACGCCACATTTCCTGGAAAGTGCAAGTCTTCATGTCAAAATGTGTATTTACCACAGATTTGATGGGAACGTCTGAAACTCCTACATGCTCTTCATAGAACACATGAGTTTAAAAAGTCTGCTACACTTCCGACACAAATCTCTTTTAATTTATGAATTATAAAATTAAAATTTAAAACTGTATTATAATTGTAAAATTTTGTATACAGAATACTGCTATTCCCATTATACTGCACTGAAATATGAATGTGGCTGCCAATTGTTGTGTTTCACATGATATTTTACTTGTTATGCCAATTTTTGGAAAACAATACACTTTTTCATGCCTGACATATCACTTGTTACATTTAAGCATGCTAAATCGTTCTGTATGGGGAAGGTATTGCACACAATGGTAGGATGAAGATGTGAAAATATAACCCTGTAGAGAACCATATATGTTATAAAATTTTATACACTGAACTTTCCTAGTGCATTAACTTAAATATATAATTATACGAGGGGTACCCAAAAGAAACCGAACTTATTTATTCAAATTTTAAGCACAAACCTTCTATCCCCTTCAAAGTACTCTCCACTTACACTAATACACTTGTCTCGTCTTTTATTCCATTTTTCAAAACACTGTATAAATTCAATTTTTGAGATACTTGACAGCGCCTCCGTCATTTTTTCCTTCACCTCAGCAACATCAGCAAAACGCTTTCCTTTCATGTCTCATGTTTTGATCATTTCGGGACTCTTCTTTCAAAGCACAGCATGCTTCCACGCGACCTTGCTTTTGTTCAGCAGTCAGCAGTCGTGGCACGAATTTCGCAGCCACCCTTTTCATTCTCAAATCTTCTGTCAACATTCGCTGAA